ATCAGAAACAAAAATATACTATTCTAAATCAACTTTTCGCGATGTTTCCAAATGTGCAATTAGACTTTTTCTATAACTTCTAAGTTTTAATATTATTAAAAAATAGTTTTTACATTAAAAAAAAATAATTAAGAACAATAAAAATTGTTTTAAATAAATACTGATTTGATATAATATTTTTTAATATTAATTTGATTATTAATAAGTTAAAAATAAAGAAAATGACATATTTAACCTATTTTGTTAATCGTTTAAAGTTGATTGTTGTAAATGTTTATAATAAAAAAAAAAAAATTTATTTTACCATAACTTTTAGCTCAATTGGTAAGTTTGACATTGACATAATTAAATAGAAAATTTTATGACAATTAAAAAAATTGTATCGTTAAGATCAATATGCAGTCAGAAAGTTTTATAATTACTATTTATTGTAAATTTATCAGAAAAGCTCAATATTTTTTTGCATTTTTATGGTNAGTCAGAAAGTTTTATAATTACTATTTATTGTAAATTTATCAGAAAAGCTCAATATTTTTTTGCATTTTTATGGTAATAGATAACTTAAATAGAAGTAATAGTAATAATTTCCTAGGAACTTTTGTTGTTTGTTGAAAAGATTCTATAATTGAAATATTGAGAACTTAATTAATTTTAATGATTTACTTTATCTAAATGTAACAATCAAACCAAAGTTGTTAAAAAGATTTACTCAATTGAGTGTATTATAAAAATTGATTATATTTGTAAAAATCAATTGTTAATTCAGGAGAAAAAACAATCATTTTTTTTAGAAATGATTTATATAGCAACACGTTACAAAAAAAAATTGTAATATTATAGTCTAGTAGTAGCACACACAAATAGAGTAAAAAAATTATTAAATTACAAAGTAAAATGATTTAATTTTGTAGTTGAAACCTATCATATCAAACTTCATTCGTTAATAAATATTTTGAAAACATTAGAAATTAATGATTTTAATTGTCTTTATGGAGACGATGTAATAACTAACTGTTTAATTGATAAATTAGAATTTTTTTTTCAATTTTTGAGAGTAATATCTTCAACTAGATACGAATTGTAGTCATTGGACGTATCGTTGAAAAAAGTAGGTCAAGTTAGAGCAGAGAAAATAAATGATATTCACAAAAAAACATCTTCTCGGCTTTGCATCGAAGCTAAAACTTAAAATATAGTAAAATAATTTTAATACGAATAAGAAATTTCTTCTTGCAAGGGGCGACTAAAGTGATGGGATCATTGATCTTTATTGAAGTTATTGAATCTAAATGAGTTAAAAATTTATACTAACTTAAAAAGAATTAAGAAAAAATGCAAAAAATTCATTGCCATACGCGGGTTGGAACCTCGTACCCCAAGCGTGTAAAACATAAATTTTACCAACTCGGCAACCGTACGTCGCTACCGTCGGGTGAAAAAATAGGCTATTTAAGCTAGTTCAAATTTCAAAGTTATTTTTCTCGACTTAAAAGAAGCAAACAAATTTAAATAAGTTTAACTTTCTATGCTATATTAATTTTTTTTATATAATATTTATGAAAATCTGTACCCCTCTTGTAAGGTATTTTAAAATGAAATAAATTACAAAACCCAGAATTTTAACACAAAAATAGCATATTTTTGAATACGGTAGTAATTTTTACTATGAAGACAAGCCCAGAGGTAAAATTTTTTTTTTTTCTAATTAAAGCATATTACATAAGCTTTAATTTAATATATATATAAAAGTGTCAGTATTTCCGGAATACTTTCAAAAATTAAATTCAAAAAGTCCTAGTTTCAATACGCATGTTTAAAGTTTTGACCCCCCTTGTATAAAGAGGTATGATCCGATTTACAAAAAAAGCGTGTCCGATGAAAGGGGTATATAAAAATTTACTATAAAAAAATAATAATATTGATCAATACATTTTTCCAAATGTTATATAAAATATAAAATCGAGAATTTTTTAACGGAAATCGTACGTTTTTCTTTAATTTTGATGTTCATTTTCACCACAAAGACAAGTCCAGAGGTCAAATTTTTTTTTTTTTCAAATTAAAGTATATTACATAAGCTTTAATTTATGATATATATATAAAAGTGTCAGTCTTTCCGGACTATTTTCAAAAGTTAAGTTGGAAAAGTTATTATTTTGAAACCCTTCCTGTGGGCTTGTAAAGGGTCAAATGTTCACAAAAATATATAAAATGATAGGTAAATACCTAAGGTATCTATAAACAAAAAATTATATTGATTCGGTCAAAAATCGAGCATTTCTGATAAATTTTTATAATACTCTCAATTGAGTAGATCTTTTTAACAACTTTTTTTTATTGGTTTTTATAGTTAAAGTAAATATTTACACCAAAAGTTAATTATAAATGATTACTATGATTTCTATTTAAGTGATCTATATCGATAAAAATGCAAAAAAAAAAAAATAGAGCATTTCTGATAAATTTACTGTAAATAGTAATTATAAAATTTGCTGACTACATATTAATCTTAACAATTTTATTTTTT